TTCTGCTCTCCAGTCTGTCTGGTGAATCCTCTCACTGCCCCTGCACCTCGGGCCTGCACCCCAGTTCTATATGCATAAATAAATCTTTAAAATAAAAGATTTTTATATTGCTTAAAATTCTAACAGTATTTATTTGAGTAAATGAGCAAAAAAGTTGTTAAATTTTTTGTAATTTAAATCATTTTTTTTTTAAACTATATGGTTGGAGGGCTATGTGCAAGGGAGGCATTGATACCTCCAAATCCAAAGACACATTTCTCAGATTTTATTTCAGCTAGCCTTTTATTATTTATTTAGCATAGAAGACCTGGGGTGGGTGGTTAAGAGGATTCCACAGAGACAGAGTAGGGAGCAGAATAGGCAGATCTACTGAAATACACTGTTAAAGGGAACAGTAACAAGCAACACAGGAGAGGTCTGCTGCACCATGTTGGTGGGTCAGATCCCCGGCCTGCTGTGGAACTCAGGCAGTTTTGGTGACAGCGCTGTCTTAACCTCTGGGCCACCTGGAAGACCCTCTGATGTTTCTTATGACACTAGTCCTAATGATGAGTGGGTTCCTGCCTTGTGAAATCATTTTACCTAATTACTTACTTAGAAGCCCTGTGTTCAGTCACCATGGGTTTAGTGCTTTGACTATGGATTGGGGGTTGGGGGGAATACAAATTTCAGTTTACAATTGAGTAAGTGGTTATTGTTGGTTTATGTCACTGAGATTTGGGGTGATTTATTGTGCAGCTTTAGATAACTTCACAGAAATTTTAGTACCAAAAATTGGTTGCTGCTGTAACAAAAGCTTAAAGCCTATAGTAGTATTGCCTTTGGTACTCGAATGCCTAAGGTACTTGAAGGTACCTTAGTGAGGCTGCCAATGATTCCACTCTAGATTAAAGGGATCCTGGTGATGTAGTGGTAGAGGGGTTAGTGACACTGTTGCCTGCAGTAAATTGGAAAGCAGCAACTGCATCTAGAGAACAGGTGCTTTAACTAAAGACATTTCCAGGTAAAGTATAGAATGTGCCGCCTGACTTATTTTTACTGCTTATAATAAAATTCTAAATGACAAGCTATTATATATAAAGAAGCCAGGACTTGCTGGACTCAAAAATAAAGCAAAACCATAGCTTTTCCAGATGACACAGGATGTTTAAATTTAAAAATAACTTCTAGGCAAAGAGAAACTCGTGAAGTCAGAACAAAATGTTCTAACAAGAAAGCCATGTAAGATTCTTAAAATTTTAGAAAGATGTATAGCAGTGTCTCAGAGAATGGCTCAGACAAAAGGCCTTTAGGAACTAAGAGCATGAACCATGAATCTTCTATGTTACACAGAAATTCTTCCAAGAATTGAGTAACGTTTTCCGTAAGCAGCTTTCTTTTGACAAAATTTTGGTGCATCTTTGTCTAATATAGCAAACACAGAGAAGACCCACACTGTTTTTTTAAAAATGGGACATAAAGAGTATATAGATAAAAGAGATCTTTTGAATTAACAACAAATAATTTAAGTGAATTTTATTAAAGTAATATTGCATTATAATATTTTATAACTATCATGTGTATATCATAAATCCATATGCAAATATCCATTAAGTTCACTACAAAAGTCCAGTTCTATTCACCATTGAGAATCTAATTCTCCTCTTCACCTTACAATTGACTCCCTTACACATCCTTTACCTTCTTCCTTCCTCATTTCCCTCTGATAACAACTAATTTGGTCTTATAGCCTAAACGTTTATTTTTGTTTTATGTAGTTCATTTGTTTGATTTCTCTGTCATAAACAAATGCAATCATTTGGTGTTTTCTTTGTCTGACTTATTTTATTAAGCATGGGTGAACCTAGAAGTAAACCCTCTAAGTCTTTTACATGTTGTTTAAAATGGTAGGGTTTCACTTTTTTAATAACTGAGTAATATTCTATTGTGTGTATCACTACATTTTTATCCAGTCACGTGTCAGTGGTCACTTGTTTCCAATTTTTGATTATTGTAATAATAGATGTGAACATGGAGTACATATATTTCTTTAAATTGGTACTTTTTGGGGCCCTGCCTGGTGGTGCAGCTGGTTAAAGCACAGCACTATGAAACTACCACAGCCACTGCAGCATGAGTTCAGTCCCTAGCCAGGGAGGTGACACACATGGTGCAGCAGACCTCTCCTGACTCGCTTGCTACTCCCCTCAGCAGTGTATTTCAGTGTATCTGCCTGTTTTGCTCCCCACTCTGTCTCTGGTGAATCCTCTAACCCCCCCGCCCCCCCAAAAAAACACATACCTCTGGCCTATGCCTCAGTTTGTATGCATAAATAAATCTTAGAAAAAAGATTACTATTTAAAAAAAATCGGTGTTTTGTATTTTTCCAGTAAATACTCAGAAGTGTGATAACTGGATAAGGTGGAATTTCTATTTTTAATTTTTTGAGGAATCTCCCTACTGTTTTCCATAATGGCCATACCAGTTTGCATTCCCACCAACAGTGTAGGAATCAGTGTTCCTTTACATTCTCTCCAATACTTGTTGTTTCTTGTCTTTTGGATAATAGCCATTCTTATAGGTATAAGATAGTATTTCATTTTGATTTGCATTTCCCTAAAAATAGGAGGTGATGAACATCTTTTTTTATGTTCCTGTGGACATTTGCTCACCTTAACTTTTGGGATAATGTACACAATTTTAAAAGATTAGAAAACACCAGCCAAAAATAATCTACCCTACAAAACTATCATTTAGTTACCATACCAGCACAAAAAAAGGTCTATTCTGGATACAGAAAAAAAAAAAAAAACTGATATAACTCACATGGTATTATAAAATAATAGAGGCACTTGAAAAAAAAAAAAGGGAAAGAAACCCAGCGAATCACCAGAGGAAACAAATGAAATGGGAATAAGAGGAATACTCCTCAACAAAATAAAACTTATTTATGACTAACCCAGAGCTTTACCTTTATTTTACAACTAGTAAAAGTCAAGAATGCCCATTCTTGTTCAACATAGTATTGAAGCCTAGCCAGAGCAATTAGGCAAAAAGACAGGTATAAAAAGAATCCAAATTGAGAAAGAACTAGGGAGACTATAGTTACTTGCAAACTACATAATAATACATAGAAAACCCTAAAGGTTCCACCATAAATCTATTAGAAATAATGAGTAAAGTAGAAGGATATAAAATCAACATAAAATTCTGTTGCATTTCTATATGCAAACAATGAATTATTGGGGAAAATAACATAATCCCATTTACAGTCACATAAAAAAGGATAACGTACTTTGGAGTAAAGTTAACAAAAAGAGAGGGAAGACCTTAACAGTGATAGCTAGCAGACATTACTAAAGAAGTAGAAGACACAAGGCCCTCCCTGGTGGTGCAACGGGTTAGGACGTAGCACTGCAAGCAAGCAGCACTGCAAGCAAGCCGCAGCAGCTTCACTAGGAGTTTGATCCCCTGCCCTGGAGGTGACCACATGGCACCCTAGACTTCTCCTGACCCGCCCGCTGCTCTCCTCAGAAGTGTACTTCATTGATCTGCCTGTTCTGCTCCCCACTCTGTCTCTGGTGAATCCTCTCACTGCCCCTTCACCTCTGGTTTGTACCCCGTTCTGTATGAAGAAATAAATCTTTTTTAAAAAACAAGAGCGAAGACAAAAAGAACTGGAAAGCTATCTGATATTCATGGGATGGAAGAACAAACATTGTCAAAGAGCCCATTGTACTTAAGGCAATGTACAGATTCAGTGCAATTCCAGATCCATACAATTTTAAAGTTTGTATGGAACCTCAAAATATCCCCAATAGACAAAAAAAGACCTTTGGAGGTATCTTGTTCCCTAACTTCAGGTGTATTACCAAGCGATTATAATCAAAACAGTATAGGATTGGAATAAAAGCAGACACACCAATTGAGTAAAATGAGAACCCAGGAATATACCACCTACATGGAAAATTCATTTTCCACAAAGCAGCCCAAACCATAAAATGGAGAATTGGAAAATTTCTTCAACAAATGGTGCTGTGAAAACTAGACAGCAACATGACCCCCCCCCCAAAAAAAAAAGTTTAATACCACCCCAAAATTAAAGGTTTGAATATAATACTTGAAACTATAAAATACTTAGAATATAAACAATACACTCATGGACATAGACTGCAGAGATGTATTTGGGGAGTCAATTCTAGTGGCAAGGTGACAAAGGATTCAAAAGCAAATTTAAATAGGACCACATCAAATTAGAAAACTGCAGCAAAAGAGGTTGGTCTCTTTTGTCTTTTCAAAGAACCATGTGTTAGTTTTTGTATCTCTAGTTTCCCTTTTTGATCTCTATTTCATTTCTACTCTTTTTTTTATTATCTTTTTTTTACTAACTTTGGGTCTTTTTTGTTCTTTTTTCAAGTTATTTTAGGTGTCAGATTAGATTGTTTATTTGGGATTTTATTGCTTCTAATAAAAGCTTAATATTGCAATTTTTTCCCCCTGAAGACTGCTTTTGCTGACACATACTATTTAGTCTTCATACAATAATGATTTTTCCTGTTTTATCTCAGAGTTAGATTCCAACTGTGGCATTAGGGTGAGAGCGATTCCTAGGTATAGTTTATAATTATACCTATATTTATAATTTGTACTTTAATTGACAGTAGATTTATGTCCCAACATATGGTCTTTTCTTGAAAGTGTTCCACATGCACTTGAGAAAAATATATGCAGTGCTTTGGGTGGAGTATTCTGTAGATGTCTGTTGTTATGAAACGAGTAAAGTTTTATTGCTTTCTTTTTATAATTTCTAGTCTATGGAGAGGATAAATAATAAAGAGATACAATACATTGGTTAAATATTCTGATGCAGATAATGAGAACTGGAGACATGCAAAATTAAGTAATCAGCTTCTTATGGAATTCATTTATTTGTTCATTAAAAAAAAAACCTTGAGTACTTTGCATTAGACTGAGGATATAACGGTCAATAAAAAATACAATTTTTTGGATGCATTAAGCTTTGGAACTCTGGAACAAATTTGAGGGAGAACCCCAGCTGCTGTTGGACTGTGAATAATGAATACAAGTACCACAAATAAAATGGAAAGAACATATATTCAAAAATACTCCATTTAATTAATTATTATTATTATTTAATTTTATGTTAAACAGCTAGACTGCCAAGAATATCATTGATGTATGGTGGCTACTTTTTTGTAAACTAGCATTATTTTTGTTTCAGCCTTTACCCTACGGAAAGAAAATCTGGAAATGTTTGAAGCAGTTGGTATTTTAGCTGTCAAACTTGGTGTAATTCCTTCAGATTTTAGTTATGCAGGCCTTAAAGACAAGAAAGCCATCACCTATCAAGCAATGGTTGTTAGAAAAGTGACTCCAGAGAGGTAACAAGATATTATTTTATAAAAAAGTCCTTACTACATCATAAGTCAATTAAGAAATATGACTAAAAACTCAAATGATACTGGGGATCTACTAAGATCAATACTTATAATTTACTGATTACCAGCTAATTGGGCAACACATTCTACATGAATAATGTAATTATCTTCTTAACAGAATGTTTTAAATTTTCATTGGAAATATAGCTTTAGAATATAAACTTTGAGAGGTAGTGGATTTTAAAAGGGCTAATTTGTTTTTTAAACATTCTGTACTATATTCAAAATATGTATTCATATAGAGGTCAGTGCTTAGAAATAAGTTACCTTTCTAATTGGTATGATACTTGAATATTTTCATCATGTTTCCTTGTTTAAACGTCACCGTGTTTATAATAAATCTGTTAGAATCAAAGCACTCAAATTTATCCTCTGTCTTCATCAAATTACAAAATTTTGTAATTGTAAAATACCTGTTTCAGATTTAGAAAATAGAAGAGTGTAAAAGTCACTAATAATTTCATTACTCAGCAATAACTACAATAACATTTTGCTATTTCCATTTTGCTCCTTTCAGACTTTCTGTAGACTAATACACATATCATACAAATACTTTTATATAAATTTGAAAGTTGTACTGTATGTCCAATGTATGTTTTACTTTGGAAAACAGAATAAATACATTGTTTTATGAAAATTTATGTCATGAAAATATTTTTAAATTAGGTTCATGATTAGACTAAGTCACTTAAACAGTTCCCTAGTTTTGGACATAGAAATTCATTCCAATTTTTCAATGAAAATAATGCTTTGAGGGCCCTGCCTGGTGGCGCAGCCGGTTAAAGAACAGCACTAAGAAGCTAAAGCCACTTCCGCATGAGTTCGATTCCCGCCTGCCCCGGAGGTGACCACATGGCGAGGCAGACCTCTCCTGACCCGCCTGCTGCTTTCCTCATCAGTTTACTTCTTAGATCTGCCTATTCTGCTCCCCACTCTGTCTCTACTGAAGCCTCTCTCCGCCCCTGAGCCTCTGCCCTGTACCCCAGTTCTGTATGCACAAATAAATAAGTCTTAAAAAAAAAAAGAAAATAATGCTTTGATTAATATTAATGTACTTAACTCTGTGTCTTGTGGATATTTTCCTTTCAGTAAACTTAAGAAAATTGAATCATTGGGCTAAAGTTCAGCCTAATTTGTTGTACTACTGATCTATTAATCATAGTCATTGTGTAAATATCCTTAGTCATTAGATGTGTAAATATCCGGGTGGATGCTTTTGAAGTGCTTCTAGGCTCTTTTACAAGGACAAAAATATATTAGTTTGTAGGAAGAGCAAATACTTTGATTTGACTGATGGAAACAGTATTGTAATTACTCTTACATAATAGTAAGATTTTTGGGTCCTCCCTGGTGGTGTAGCAGCTTAAAACAGCACAGCACTAAGAGGTTAAAGCCACTTCAGCATGAGTTTGGACCCTGCCCGCCCTGGAGGTGACCCACATGGCGCGGCTGTACTTCCTTGATTTGCCTGTTCTGCTCCCCATTCTGTCTCTGGTGAATCCTTTCACCGCCCCTGCACCTCTGGGCTGTACCCAGTTCTGTATGCATAAATAAGTAAATCTTCAAAAAAAAAATAATAGTAAGATTTTAGTGAATGAAGAAAGCCAAGATATAATTTGAGAGACAGTGAGTGAGATAGTTTGCCTAATAAAGTATGTAGATCCTATAAAGTCTATAGAAAATGTGAATGTAAGACAAAATGTTAAAAGTTATGCTGTAATATTTGAAATCTGTTCTTTAGATATCAGGGAAGAATTCAAAGTGTGCAGAGCAGAGAGTTAGAAAAATTGTGTTTTCCTTGGTAATATTCAGAAGGAGAGGCTGAGGAAGAAAAGATCTGTTAAGTTCTGTCACTTGAATTAAAGAAAAGTCAGGTCTACCTAGGTAAATGGTAGCATTAGGAATATAGTTCAGTTCTCAAAATGACTGTTAATATGTATTAATGGATTTTTAGTATATGGTTGTGGAAGTAGCATTAACTTTTGAATAATCCTGTAATATCTCTTTTACTATTCAATATCTCTTTTACTATTCTAATATAAATAGTTGCTTAGAAACTGTCATTCAAATCTTATGTTAATTTAAATGTAAAACTTAACTGAATCTATACGATTTATCATTTATAGGTTGAAAAATATTGAAAAAGAAATAGAAAAGAAAAGAATGAATGTGTTTAATATTCGGGCTGTAAAGGATTCCCTTAAACTTGGTCAGCTCAAAGGAAATCACTTTAATATTGTCATCAGAAATTTAAAAACCCACAGAAATGATTCTGCAAATTTGAGAGAGAGAATTTTGGAGGCAATAGGCAATGTTAAGGTAAGAAATCTCAATGTCAAAATAGAGTATTACAAGAAAATATTTGTTTCTCTCACTTTATACAAGGAAAAAAACAAGCGTTTCTTTTGTCTTTTCTTTTTATAAGCATGTATAATTATTATTTGAAATGATAATTAGGACCATTGCTTAGTTTGTGTTTTCTTCTTAGTACATTTTTATATTAAAAACATGAAAGTTTAATGTAATTTTAAAAATACAAGTGTGTAGCATTTTACAGGGGAAAAAGAAACCTGTGTATAAGGATGAGTTACTTTTTTAACACTAGCCATATAGAATATTTGTTCAGTATTTTTTTTTTAGTTAGGTAACCATGTTTGCAGTACTTTGTATGTTTTAGGAGTACAGTTTCATACTTTTTCAACTATATGCAACTATATGGTACCATACCACTGTGTTTAGGAATCTTCTCAAAAATCTTTGAGAAGTAAATAGTTATACTACCTTTTCAAAATGATATACAACTTTTCCTATTTTTGATCAAATTCTGGATTTTTATAATGCATACACATGGTAAATCGTACACATTTTATTATGTCTTACAGTAAGACATTACTTAACTTTTTAAAAAATTGGTTTACAACATGGTATATGACTCACAGGTACAGGGTACAGCCTTCAGGCACATGCTGTTACATCATACCTACCACCAAGCCGCCCACAGCCCTCTCCCACAGTCCTTCGTGTGCTCTCTCTCTCCTCTCTCCCCTCCCTTCTGGTAATTTCCAACCTACAGTCATATTTTTAGGATTTGTTTTTGGCTAGGTTTGATTTCATCCTTTGCTTTGTGTGTTATCTCAACAATAAGCACAGTCAGATCTTCTAAACTGTAGCCAGCAAAATTTTTTCATGTAAATATATTATTTCCAGATAATAAATATTTTTGGCTTTGTAGACATACAGTCTCTGTTGTAACTACTCTTCTGTCACAGTACAAAGCAGTCTTAAACAACACATACATGAGTGAGGATGGCGTATTCCAGTAAACCTTTATTTACCAAAAAGATGTTGGGCTAGACTTGACTCATGAGCCATTAGAGGTTTGCCAGCTTCTGATGTAGTACAGTAAATCTCAACCTAGGGTGCTTTAAAAATCTCAGCAATCAATATCTACTTGCAATCCTACTATACAAGAACATTTGGGCATGCAATGTAGACATTAATATTTTTTTTTCAAGCTCCCAAGATGATTCTAATCTGCAGCTAACATTGAAAAACACTGACCTAAGCTTCTGGCCAGAAGACCTTTTTCCACAATTTTATACCTCCCTTGAAAGAAACAAGCAAAAAATATATTTAACATAATGCCTCCAATAAGGAAAATATTATCCAATAAGATTTTTAAAATCTAATGAATTTACTTATGCATCAAAATCTTAGTAGACTCTTTGCATGGTCATTTTTTCTTTCTTTCTAGGCCTCCCTAGAATTCTTTTTATCCTCTGAAAAACAATTACTAAAATGATACCTCTTTTTAAAAGGGAGGCAGTTTTTCTGAGCTTTGATGGAATTTCTTGCTTGTCTTTTATATTTCACTTATGGAAATAGAACTGTGTAGTCAAAAATTCCCATTAGGAATAATAATCTCAGTTTTAGCAAACATTTCTTTAGTTCTAATAATAAACAGAGTTGAGAAGTCCTGCAACTAAGAGGTCTTTGAAGTTTTGTTTCAGAACATTATAGCTCTGATTGCTATAAACCTTTTTTTCGATCCATCCTTAAGGAATTTGAAGGGGTACTTAATTAAAATTTCTGGATATTTTGGTATTATCGGATGTCATTTTATCCAAATTTAAAATAATTTAGCTGGGATTTAATACAGGAACTACTTATTCTACTTGCAGTTGATTTTTTTCTGAGTGGCCTGAAGTTTTGTACTTTCGATACAATAGTGTCTTGTTGTAGCATCTTTTGTTAAACAGGCTTGAAGTTGGTGTTCAAAAATGATTGTTGGCTGAATAAGTGTTTACTTCCCTCATAAACTGAGTGTAGAGGACTCTTTCATCTTTCAAGAAATTATCTGGACCTGGTATTTTCTTTGTGAGGACATGTTTAACCACTTTAATGGTTATAGTAATAAATTACTATTTTCTCTTCCAGCTGAAGGGATGTCATTGCATTGTACAAGGCTTTCAGAAACTCACTTAACTACAAAATGAACTGCTGTGTGTATAGGACTTAGGGCTTGCTGGATTTGGAAATAAATCTGTTTCTTATTTCCAGCATCTCCAAATAGCAGAAGAGTCTGAATGTTAGGAAGAATTTCAGGGCAAAGACTAAATTCAGTAATATGTAACCCACTCTTCCCACTTTTCCCAGAACTTCCCTGATTTTAGACCTGTGATCCCAGAAATTTCCTTCAGGAATGTGAAGAGCTAATGTATTGCTAAAGCTTTGTCTTGGGTTTTATTTTCTAAACTTTAATCACTTATTCTTCTCCTTTCTATTCTTTAATTATATAACATTTCTCAAAACACATGTTCTCCATCTATATATTGCTGCCCATAGGGTTATTTTGTTAAATATGAAGAGAAATAATTACCTATTCTGACACAATAATTGTATATTTGTCTTAATTTAGGGCAGTAACAGAGAACAATAGATTGAGTGACATTTAAACAATAGAAACTTATTACTTACAGTTCTGGGGACTAGATGTCTGAACTCAGGGCCTCAGCATGGCCTTCTTATTGAATTCTCATGGAGTAAAAAAAAGTGACTTACCTTCAGGCCCTTTTCTTCCAGGGTTACTGACTTTTATTCATGAGTGCTTCCCCTGGTGACCCAATTGCCTCCCCAAACTACACCTTCAAATGCCAACATATTGGAGATTAGGATTTGTACATGAATTTTGGATTGACACAGGCCTGCAGTTCTTAACAATGTACTTATAATCAATTAACTTTTTATGTTCACAGAATAAAGGATTTGTGAATTACTATGGACCACAGAGATTTGGATTGGGAAGGAAAGTTCACACAGACCAAATCGGATTGGCTTTGCTGAAGAATGAAATGGTATGGTGTTTAAAAAAAAAAAAATCTGTTTTTTTTTAATTAATGTTGCATAAACCACATAACACCAGGAGTAAGAGAAACAGTGGGTAGGTATTATGGGGGTCGCCTTAGAGACTGGCTTTCACAATAAGTAAACTATTTTTTTGTTTTGTTTTTTGAAGCACTTGCTCCCTAACCTTTAGATTCTTTATGTTTCACTTTAAATTCTCATTCCATCCCCCAATGAAATCTGAATTCTCCTAATCTTGTGAGCTTGCATCTTCCTGAACTTCTCATCAGGTGTTTTTTTATTTTATTTATTTTATTTTATTGCTATTCCTTATTTAATCTTTTCTAGTTAGCAGAGATCATGGCTCTCTCGCCCAGTACTCCCTCCATAGTGGCCTACACAGTGCCTAGCACATGGCAGAATCTTAATAATATTTGTTTAACTATATTCGGTTTTTAAAAAATATTTGTTCGAATGGATGAATACTATAAAGGATGGGTGAGTGGGAGAATAGAGTAAATCTATTTTAGGATCCTTTCCTACTGGAACACACATACTGAGAAATAAATTATAGTGCTAGAGACAGTGATAAAATACAGGAACTAGTACGTACCATTTTTTTTTTTAAGGAGCATCTTTTAATCTATTTAGGCTTAAAAGAAAAGATTAAAGCTGAATTTTTAAAAATAGATTTTGCCATTTATTTTTAAGGTCAAACAATTGTGAAACTTGAGAACTTAAATGAAATCAGTGGTTTGCTCTTTCCTTATGCCCATTTCTTTCCCCCTACCTGTTTTTTGGCATAGGAGAGCTGGGGTGTATGCCATCAGTACAGGGGGTGAGAGGACTCACCAAAAACAGAGTTGGGAAACACAAAAGGAAGAATGACTGAAATACACTGCTAAGGGGATTAGTGAGCGAGACAGGAGAGGTTTGCTGTGCGCTGTATGGATCAGCTCCCTGGCAGGGGATTGAACTCAGGCCTTAGTGATGATACTGCTGAAACTTAACTCTTAGGCCACTAGGAAAGTCCCTGTTTCCCTATTTTTGGTATCTGTGTTGGCCAACTCTGAGGTATACATTATTACCTCACACTTGTTTTCATAGCTTGATGACAGAGGGAAAGAATGACACAAGTGAAACTGGAAGTTGTGAGGGAGGACCTTTTCCAGTCCACAGTGTTTTATTTATATTGTTGTTCATTTTTGTAGAGTAATTGGTTACTTTCCTCAGGTGTAGTCCCTGTAGTTCTCCCACCACCATAGTACCCCTGAACCATCACCACAGTTCCTAGTGTTCTCCTCTCTCCTGTTGCCACCCTATGGCCCTCCCCTGCTGAATGTCTCAGATCTATGATCAGCTTGAAAGTTTTTTTCTTGCCCATTTGGTTTCTCTATATTCCACTATAAGTGAAACCATCCGATGTTTATCTCCTTCCAACTTATTTCACTGAGCATCATCCCCCCCAGCTCCTTCCATGCCTCTGCAAATGGCATGAGTTTTCTTTTTTGATTGCTAAGGAGTATTCCATTGTTTTATATAGACCACATCTTCTTGATCCAGTCATCCTTTTGGGACACTTAGATTGTTTCCACATCTTTGCTATGGTAAAAGGTGCTATAATAAACATAGCAGTGAAGATTTCTATTCGAATTAGTGCCTTTGTATCTTTGAGTAAATTTTAAACCTATGTAGAAAGTCACTTTGTATAAAAGGTTTATTTCTAAACATCTTTTTAATGTTTAAAAGCTTGAAGATAAAATTGCAGCATCGAATATCATTTCATAAATGTCTATTTTAAGATGCCAGAGAATTTATATATATTTATACAAGAAATATTATGTCATTTACATTTAACATATGTTTGCTTGCTTGATTTTTAAAGGTGAAGGCTGTAAAATTATTTCTTACACCAGAAGATGTGGATGATCCTGTAAATAGAGCAAAGAAATATTTCCTTCAAACTGGTATATATATGTTTCTTTACCCCATACATAGCCTACTAATAATTAATAATAAAGAGGGCATTCATTGCAACACAAGTGTGATAAGAAATAGATTGTAATATTGTACATTTAATCATCTTACTACATGCCCGAGGCAATACATTTTTGGCCAGATAGGAGGATTTTTGTTTATTCTAACTACAGCTCTGTGGTTTGGGATAAATAGAAAAATAGTTTCTTAGTCTTTATTGGCCTTAATCCTCTAAGAGAACATGAATTCCAAGTTCTGAACTGGTACCATTTGAAATATAATTCATTACAGTGAGAGACTGAAGTATAAATTACATAAAAGTACTTTTGCTATATTTGATAATTTGTGCATTATTTTGGGCCTAGTGATTCAGGCTGACTGCCAATTCTAAAACTTGAGCTCACAATGATGAATATGTGTTTAATGGAAAGCTCCAAGAAAAGTAGTTATGAATGTGATTCTTATTATTCTGCATGAGTTAACTCAATTTAGTACTTTCCAATTATATTGTCTCATGCAAGTCATTTTATTTCATTGTTTTAGTTTCCTCATCTATTAATTGAAGTTAATAATGAGATCTAGAGAACTAATGAAATGTAAATAATATAACATATATAATACATTTAAAATAGCACTTAGCATTTAATAAATACTGCATAAAAATTGCCTGTATTTAATAATAATAAAATTGGCTATTTTATTTTAATTTAAGAAATGTTTTCAACTTTTATTTAGAAACAAATTTAATCTTAGACAGTTTAAAAAATAGCACAAAAAGCTCATATATATCTTCTGCCCAAATTCGCCTCTTATTAACATTTCATTCTAATTACTTTGTCATGTTCCATTTATCTTCCTATCCATCTATCAAGGATACATTTTTATTGGCTAACTTTGTATTATAACATGATATGTTTCAGTTGTTGTCATTGAAAATTGACTTTATACACACACACACACACACACACACACACACACTACATCAAGTTCACGACTAAAAATCCATTACTATTGTCTTCTTTATCCTGATTTGCCCATCCTTCTTTCCCTCTCGTAGCTACTAATTGGTCTTATAATGTAAAAGTTTATTTTTGTTTGCTTGTTTTCTCTGTATACCACACATGAATAAAGAATTACACTAATAATAATAATACACTAATATAATACTTTCAAGTTTCATCGTGCATATATGGCAAGATATTATTTTTCTTTTATTTGGACACCAGTCCCCAAACACACCTCTGAGGCTAATGTTGAGCAAACCAGCTGTGTTCTCTTTTGTGTATCTTATGGTGTCAGGGCTTTGATCCAACTCTAATCCATTTTGAATGATTTTTGTGTATGGTAGAAGTGGTCTGACTTTACTCTTTTGCATGGGATGATCTAATTATGCCATTTCACATTTATGCAAATATTTGATCTGCATACACTTGCATGTTTAATTTCATGTAAATTGAAATAAGGAGATCAATTTTCAAAATAGCCCCACTCCCATATACCCATTTATGATTATTCATCAAAGAGAAATATTGCATTCACATCACAATTTTATGCAGTTGCATTGTCAAAAGTAATAACAATAATCCTAAAAAGTAATAACGTAATCCTAAAAAAATGCAACATGACTCATTTGTTTGTATCTAATGTAAAGTCTTAAGGAAATAGTTTCCCTACTGTAATAATTATTAAACTTTAGTGTACATAAGAAATACCTGATGCATTTACTGACATGCTGATTCCTAAGTGCTACCTGAATAAGCTTCTTTGTGGTGGAGCTCAATAATTCAGTTTTTGAAAGCATCCTATTTGTAAGACCTTATAATATACTTGAAGAATCTGAATTTTAACCACCTTTTTTAATTAAAAATAAATTACACAAATGTCCATAATAGCTTTTTAAAGGTCTTTAGGTTCAGAGGTTTATTATACTGTTTTTAAAGTCCTTTACTTTTAACATTGCTATCCTAAAGCCAGTTACTTATGAGTTACTTTTTTTATAAGGCAAAGTGAATGGATCATATAATTTGAATCTTATCAAACGGATTCTTTAAGTGCAGCTAGATTTATAATTAGTGAGCATCTTTTTTTGATTTGTGTTAATTAAGGTTCCATTAGTTTACAGTGTTCTTTGTGTCCCCTTTCAGTGTACCACACTTAGCATCAAGCACTCATGGTCCACTATCATAATTTATTGTGCTTCTTCCCATTTTGAGTTGATTTTTGGGTAAGGTGTGAGACAATGATCTAGATTCATTTCTTGCATGTTCAAAACTTGCCACATGCAAGTTTTCCCAAGCCCTTTCATTCACGAGGCTTTCCTTGCTCCGAGTTTATGTTCTTGGATCCTTTGTCTTAGATCAACTGTCTATATAGATGTGGGTTTATTTTCTGTGCTCTCATTTTTATTCCATTAATCTGTGTGCCTGTTTTTTTTTTTTTTCCCCATACTACCATGCTGTTGTGACTATTATAACTTTGTGGTATAGTTTGAAATCTGGGAGCATCATACCACCATTCTTCTTTTTCCTCTGTCAGGATTGGTTTGACTGTTCATGGTCTTGTGGTTCCATATACATTTCAGTGATGTTTGCCCTATTTCTTTCAAGAATGCCATTGGAACTTTGATAGGGATTGGATTGAATCTATATATTGATTTGGGTAAGATGGCCTTTTTGGACAATATTGATTCTTCCAATCTTTTAGCAGGGAATATCTTTCCATTTCTTTGTGATTTCTTCTATTTCTTTCAACAATATCTTATACTTTTCATTGTATAGGTCCTTCACCTCCTTTGTTAAGTTTATCCTAGTTCTTTAATTATTTTTTGATGTAATTATAAATAGGATTGGTTTCATTTTTTCCTCTTCTTTCTCACTGTTTACTTATAGGGCCACACTGATTTTTGTGTATTGATTTTATCACCTACCACCTTGCTGAACTGATTTATTGTTCCATTTACTTTTCTAGTGTCATCTTAAGGGTTTTTCATGTATATTATTATGTCACCTGTAAATAACGATAGCTTTACTTCTTCATTTCCAATTTGAATTCTTTTTCTATGCTTCTCTTTCTAATTGCTTTAGCTAGTACTTCCAAAATAATATTTTGATAATAGTCGTTAGAGTGTGGCATTCTTGTCTCGTATTAGATGGTAATGGAAAAGCTTTCTATTTTTCAGCATTGAGATTGACATTAGCTATGGTTTTGTCACTTATGACCTTTATTATCTTAGTGGTATAGGTCACTTTTTTCCCAATTTTTTGAGGGTTTCATCATGGAATGGGTACTCAGTTTTACATTTAATCTTATCAGATTCTTTCTTGGCATCCATTTATATCATCATATGATTTATATTTTTTTATTCATGAATTGAAATATGTTGATTGATTCTCTGATATTCCTATAGAGGCCTTATAACATTGTCCCTCAAACCAACAAACCAACTTGATCCTGCTTTATAAGCCTTGTTTTATATATATATATATATATATGTATGTATATACACACACACATTGTTCAATTTGGTTTGTTACGATTTTGTAGAGAATTTTTGCATTTATGTTCATTAGGGAAATTAGTCTGTATTTTTATTTCTTTTTTTTGGTTTTTTTTTTTTGCTTTTGATATAAGGACCTCTAAAAAGTATTTGGAAGTATTCCCTCTTTCTCAATTTTTTTGGGAATAGTTTGAGAATGGGCATTAACTCATCTCTGAAGGTTTGGTAGAAATCACTTGACATAACCTTCTGGTTCTGGGCTTTTGTCTTTTGGGAGACTTTTTATTAGTTGCAAATCATCGTTTGACTGTAAATCCTTTTCTGGGCTTTGTCCTCATTAATATTTTGTTATCAACCCAAATTCTCTTGTTTATGCTTTTAATTCAGTATTTCTGTTTATTGTATAATACAAGGTCTAGTATTTTTTTATTTTATTTTTTTGTTTTTTCTTTTCATATAAAATGTCTTTAATCATTTCTTGTATTATATCACTACTTATCTTCTTGGCAGTCACTGTCTTTATCCATCATATTTGAATGATAGTTTTGCAGGATACAGTGTGGAGAATATGTCATTCCATTTTCTTCTAACCTGTAGGGTTTCTGCTGATCAAGGTGTCTTTATAACACGTTTCTTTCCCCATCTAGCATTTTTTCTATCACTGACCTTTGATATTTCAGCAGTGTTTTGGTGTAGGTCATTGTACATTTAGAAATTTGGATAGTCTGTCTGCTTCTTGAATGTCATGTTTAATTCTTTCGTTCGATTTAGAAAGTCCATCCATAGCTATTATTTTGAATAGGGTCTCTGCCCTTTTTGCTCTTCACTGTTAGCAATGGTCATTACCCATATATTTTTCTTCTAATATAATCTTATATATCATGTAGAGTTTCTTTATTTTTCCTAGTCTTATTTCTCCATCTTCCACTTGACTTTTGTACATTTTACCTTTTATTCTTGAGATCCTTTCTTCAACAAGGTTAAGTCTGCTAAGCTTTCATGGCTGCTTTCTGTTCTTTAATTGTATTCCTCATGAATCCATTTATTTCTGCTTTTGCATTATTTCTTTGTTTTTTTGTTGAATAGCATAAATTTTTTTGGTGAAGTATTTTTTTTTTAAAGATTTATTTATTCTTACAGAACTGGGATGCAGGCCAGAGATGCGGAGGGTGAGAGGATTCATCAGAGGCAGAGTGGGGTACAGAACAGGCAGATGGACAAAGTACACTGCTGAGGGGAGCAGCGGGCGGGTCAGGAGAGGTCTGCCTCGCGATGTGGATCTCCTCTGGGGCAGGCGGGGAATCGAACTCATGCGGAAGTGGCTTAAGCTTCTTTGTGCTGTGCTTTAACCCGCTGCGCCACCAGGGAGGGAAGGTGAAGTATTCTTTTTAGTCAGATATCTTTTCTTTTGTCCTCAACCTGGCTTTCTGTGTTTAATTGAAAGTCTTGAACTTCATAGAGCATCTTCATGATTCCTGTTCCATACTTTTAGTCTGGGAGCTCCTCCAATTCTGAGTCATAAAGCCTGGGTTCAGGTCCATTGTCTTTTTCCAGGTTGTGTTACCTGAGTGGTGCTTTCTTCTATATGCTCCCACTTCCCCTCCTTCCACCCCATATGATGTGCTGTGGCTTTAATTTTAAGACCTGCATTATTTTACAAGACCATGGGAGGGAAGAGTATAGGTATGGAGACCAAATGCTGGAATAAGTTTTCACAGTCTTGGGTGAGGAGTGCTCCTTTGATTTGGGGAATCTGTTATCAGTGCGTCTCTCTGTGCAATCAGACAAGCACTTCTTCATGCCTGGGACCTACTACCCAGGTCCCTGTCTCAGTATCAAGGAACTCCTTGTTTTACAGCAGAGTTTGTTCTGGCCTTAGAAGAAAAGGGTGGAGGATAGTGTTTGGCTGTTGCTTACACAATAATCAGATTAACTTCTGTGGCTGATGGATCCATCTCCCTAGGGCTCAGTCAGAATGTAATATATTATTTCCCCCTCACTGGGGAGGTCCACTGTGCCATAGTGAGTACACCAGAGCCTCTATCCTCTCTAAGTCTGTTCTTCCATCAGGAGTGGCCACAACTGTGCCGAAGGCTTTCATCCCTTCTCCCTGCTTCAAAATAATGAATAACAGATTGCCCACCTTAGGGAGGAGGATGTGTGGGTCAACCAGTGATGCTGGCAATGTGCTAGTGAGGTATATATGTGAGTTATAACTGCCTTTTTTAGTTGTACTTGGAGAAAGGCTTGCAGGCAGAGAGCTAGTCAACCATGTTTTGGCTTTGCCTACTTGATTGACTGACTTCCTTTGTTCTCTATTTCAGAGGATGCTAAAGGCACTCTAGCACTGATGCCTGGATTCAAAGTTCGAGAGAGAGCGATATTGGAGTCACTGCATCGCTTTAGCATGACAGAAGAGGGTTGTATCCAGGCCTGGTTCTCTTTTCCTCATTCTATGCGCATATTCTACATTCATGCATATAGCAGCAAAATTTGGAATGAGGCTGTGTCATACAGACTTGCAACGTATGGCTCAAGAGTGGTGAGAGGCGATTTGGTCTGTTTGGATGAAAGTATTGAAGATGAGCATTTCACGAACAGTAAAGTAAGTAATATTCCATCAGTGTTTTCCAAGAGTATTTACCACACTAGGAACATTAATTTTCAGAAGTCCTTGTTTTAGAAACAATTTAAGACTAGACATGTGTTTTAAGTCCTGTATTACTCATTTCCCACTTTTCCCGTGCTGTCAGCTAAGGCTTAACAATTATCGGTATATGGAGAAATTAAAAAGGTAGCAATATAAGGTAAATGGTAGAAAGATGGCGGGCATTTCTAAGAAAGAACACTTTTTAAAATTACACAGGTAATGTAAAAAAGTTTCCTTGAAAAAAAATCAAGACATTGCAGATAAAAACATGACATGCCTTCCACCACTAGATAATAATTTCTTCATTTCTCCTGAAATCAGTGTGTTTTTGACATGTCTCCATCCTTTTAGACTTTTTCTTTCTTTTCATATAAATATCCACAGAAAGTATATATTTTAATCCTATTACTAATACTGAAAATAAGGAGTTACATGCTTATAACAAAATAAGGCAAATAAAAATAACACAATTTTTATCATAGTGGAATGTGGTCATGTATGTGTTTTATATAAATGTAATTTTGTGTCAGTGTTATTCCAAGACTTGCTTTTTTCTAGCAATGTCTTAGAGACATTTTATATTAGTAAAATTATAATGTCATTAAAAAAATTTTTTATACCCCAAAGGGCACATTTGTTATAAAAAAGGAAAGGAAAGGAAAGCACACATGCTTGGGTACAAGCAGACAGAAAGAATTGCCTCGGAAAGGGACAGATTTGTTAAAATGCACTTCAGCGTAGTCCAAGGTAGATGGGAGAGCTGCCTAGTGTAATCTATGCTAGATAAAGTGAGCCTTCCCTTTCCTTTTTTTTTTTAATAAAGATGTATTTTATTTATTTATGCATACAAAAATTGCGGTGTGGGCCAGAGGTGAGGTATGTGGGTGAGAGGATTCCCCAGAAACAGAGTAGGGAGAAGAATAAGATCTACTGAAATCTACTGCTGAGGGGGACCGGTGGGAGAGACAGGAGAGGTCTGCTGTGCCATGTAGATCAGCTTCCTGGCCGGGGATCTAACTAGGGCCACAGTAGGTGGCGATAGCTTGCTAGTGTTGAGATTTTAACCTCTCTAACCCCTTTCATTTCCTCTTAACAGTATTTGTATCTCTGTCAGCTGGAGTTAATTAGTGAAACAGATTTCCATGATTCAAATGAAGAAATTCATTTTATAATATAGTAATGCAAAAAATAAGTTATTATTCTATAGTGATACCTAAGGTTAATCACACAAATGTTCTAAAAATTAGTGAAAAATTTGAGTAGTGCTTCATATATAATATTACAAAAGCAGTGAATTTTAGGAGGAAGGAATGTTAGACATCATTTTCCCCCAACTCATATTTTTTTAAATTAATTAATTTATTTATTTGTGCATACAGAACTGGGTGGTACAGGCCAGAGGCACAGGAGCAGTGAGAGGATCCACCAGAAACAGAGTGGGGAACAGAACAGGCAGATCGAGGAAGTATACTGCTGAGGGGAACAGAGGGCGGGTCAGGAGAGGTCTGCCTCACCATGTGCGTCACCTCCTGGGCCGGTGGGGATCGAACTCTTGCAAAAGCGGCTTTCGATTCTTAGTGCTGCACTTTAACCCACTGCCCCAGAGAGGGCCCTCCTAACTCATATTTCATGGAAATGAATATTGTGTCCCCGGTTGGAGAAGGCAGGTTAAGTGGCACAGGTGGCAGAATGACAGCCCAAGTGGTCTCTACTGCCACATGATGAAGCATGGAAAAGGAGAGGAAGAATATGGATTACTTTTTCAAAAACGGAGATAAACAAACTAAAGGAAACATCTCCTAAATTAATGACATAGTTGTAGATATATGAACTGGGGGGTATTTTTGTTTTCTTTTTTTGGTTTGAGTAATGGAAACCCACTTCAGACTAACAAACTAAGCCATGAACTGAATGAATCTCAGTGGCAAAGAGAGTCTGGCTTCCTGGCTTGGGGCACCTGTCCTCAGAACAGTTATTGTGGATTGGGATATGTGATTGTATAAGTTGTTCTTGAAGACTTTCTTCTGGAATCATCTCAAAACTCAAGCTAGAGGAGAGATCCCTGGAAAATGAGTGTGTTCTGACCAGGGAAGGAGTAGAAACTGAACAAGCCAGAGTAACAGATGTCTGTATCAAATGGAGGGTTTGTGAATGCATCTATGGATAAGTGGTCACTAGGAGCATAGCTCTCTGGCATATAGACTCAAACTGTGTAACAAGAAATCTAGTAACAACATGGATTTTACCTTACCTCAGAAAAGAGATATGTCACTTAGTGATTCACTTTTGATAAATAATAAAAAGTCATTAGGTGTTTTTCACCTTCCAGAATATGTTCATTTAGTTATTTCCCTGGCACTCATTACTTACTAAGTCATACTTTTGATTAGATTTTGAGAAGAAGACAAGAAATAACAATCTCTGAAATACTTAGGTCTTACAATGCTTCTTTGTTTAAAGTAACATTTGTCAGGTTTTCTGATCAGAATCATATCTACTTTATTTTTGTTGCTGTGGCAGGAAACATTTTCTTTTTATTTTACAGTTTTATTATCAGCAAAGAATACCTTTATTTTAAGACAAATCAAATCTATATTTAATATAGAAAGTAAAAAACGGGACTTGAGGTTGAAAATATAAGATATGAAAAAGTAAATGGGACATGCATTGTTATGCATCTAAAATATGTAGGGAATTAATTGTTCTTCTTTGATAGATCTCTAGACTGACAGGTTTATTTCCATTTCAAGTTACCTAGTAAATTCCTTTATAATTTTTTTTGTGAGCAAGATAGAGAAATATGAGTTACACTATTTAAAAGTGGAGTGAATTCATACTTGGGGAACAGCCACATTACAAAAAAAAAAAAAAAGGGTTTGTTAGCTAGTTGATTCAACTCAGAGGGAGTTTTCTAAAGAAATAACATGGTTTTCAGTATTGACCATATTTGGTCAGCATTTTCAGAAATTACTTCCAGTGTTGTAGGTATGTTGATGAATTTGTGAGAAAGAGAAAGTTGAAATGTGATCATACAAGGGAGTCAAAGCCACATGTATTTTGATTGCATCCCATTTTTAGTCTTTTGAGGAACCTTCACACTTTTTTCCGTATAGGGGCTGCACTTTCCCACCTGCAGCATAAGAGGAATCCTTTTTCTCCACATCCTGCTCAGCACTTGTTGTTTCTGCTTTTCTTAACTTTTTTGACTTGGGTTATTCTCAGAGGTGAGAGATGATGTCTCATTGTGGTTTTGATTTGTATTTCCCTGATGATACGTGATGATGAACATTTTTTTCACATGCCCGTTGGCCAGAAGCAGATTTCGGACATAATATAATAAAAAACAATTCTGTAATTTAGAAAATGATTGTTGTTAACAGAGGTTAAGGTATCACCCAAGAGCGTTAAAATTCCCATCAGTCTTTGAAAGTACCAACTTCAGTTATCAGTGGTCAAACAGGAAGAATCTTTCTAGCTAATGTGGTCTGCTTCTTCAGAAACAACTTTTGAAAAAATCCTTTATATATATATATATCCTTTATGTATATATATAAATCCTTTATATATATAGATCTCTTTCTATATATACATAGATATATATGTAGATATATATAGATGTATCTATATATAGAGAGAGAGAGTCAGCTATGAGTCAAATTATATGTAACTAAGTAAGGAAAATTATATGTAACTAAGTAAGGAAATTTAGAACACTGTGAATAATCTATATTTTCATCATGCTTTTTAAAAATAGGTTCATCTGGTAACTGAAGAAGAGGAATCAGCTAATACATATGCCATACATCAGGTAAATTTCTCAAAAATTAGTATTGCTTGGGTCTAAATGTAAACATTTAGACAAAATGCTAACCATTCTCCCCACCCTACCCCCTGCCTTTTAAAATCACTTTTTAAAGTCAAGTATAACTTATATAAAGTAAAATTTATTCTTTTCAGTTCACACTTAAGTGAGTTTGGTAAATATTGGATTGTCAGAAAAGTCATGATTTTTTTTTTTGCATAGATAAAATGTCATATCTTTTCCAAAAGCCCAATATATGCAGTTTTATGATTACACAAAGATCAAAATAAAGAACAGCTTTATGTCTCCCCAGTATTTCTCTGTGTTCCTTTATAGTCAAACTCTAGCCCCTGGCAACTGTTACATAGTTTTGCTTGGAAAGAATATCCTATAAATTGAATCATATAGTCTTTGCATTTGCCTCCTTTCAATTAGTATAATAAAATTTATTCACTCATATAGGTATTTGAGGTTTTGTTTCTTTTTTAAACTACCTTTAGATACTATTTAGAAAAATGTCTAGAAGTAATCAGTAACCTAAAAGTAATCCATTGTTCATTCAATAAACATAAGCAGTTGGTAAAATATACATATTTGTGGCTTCTAGTTTGCTTTCATGTTTTTAATAGCAAAAATCTAAAGTTATTAGCTAAAATACCAGTTGTGATTAGACAGTAGTAGGGCCTATTCTTTTTTATACAAAGAACATGCATTTAGAATTGTATGACTGCAGTTTTTCTTGGCTAATTAAATATACTAAAACTTCTTATTCTATCTCTTCTGCACTAACTATAGTTTACCTACTAATCTCTTACTTGAGTTAGTCCTTTGGTTAATAAGAGTCTTTATTTTATTGAACTCTTTTCTTTGAAGCATTAGAATTAACCAAATTAGTGTAGTATTTTATAATTTGCTTTAGGCTGATCGTAATGTTAGATCCTGAGATTATTTTTATAGACCCAAGTTCTAACCATAAAAGTACATTTAGAATTTGATTGCATGTATTTCTGAAGGCTGTTTCATCTGTTTTCCCCCTCTTCCTTTGCACAGGTGGTTCTTCCAGTGCTTGGCTACAATATTCAGTTCCCAAAGAATAAAGTAGGGCAGTGGTACCAGGAAACACTTTGCAGAGATGGATTACAAACATGTAGATTTAAAATACCAGCTCTGAAACTGAATGTTCCAGGATGTTATCGACAGATTTTGAAACACCCCCATAACCTTGCCTACCAACTAACAGAGGAACTTGCTAATGATACCAGAATAGAAGGTGCCTCTCTGAGTGAAGCAACTTTGTCACTTTTGATCTCTTTTGACCTTGAAGCTTCATGCTATGCTACGGTTTGTCTAAGGGAAATAATGAAACATGACTTTTAAAACCAATATTCTTGTGTATGTCACTCTTTAAACAAATGGTATCTATGATTTCTTGAGTATTTACTGTGTGATAGGAGGTTTATCATTGTTATCCTTTCACTATACAACATCCTGATGAAATAGATTCAATGTTAACATTCCAGAAGACAGAGCTCCTTAGTAAGTGGCAGTGTCTGAATGTAAGACTCCAGAGCCCATGTTCTTCATATTCTCTGATGTTTCAGTTATTTTGTATCTGTGCTATAAAAAGTTACAGTCTTAAGGCCACCCTGGTGGTGTAGGGGGGTCAAGCCTCAGTGCTATCACCACTATTGCCTGAATTCCATCCCCAGCCAGGGAGCAGACCTACATGGTGCAGCAGACCTTTCCTGGCTTGCCCACTGCTCCCCTCAGCAGTATATTTCAGTCATTTTGTCTGTCTGCTCTCACTCTTTGTACCTCTGGCCTATATCCCTGGTCTTCTATGGAAAAACAATAACAACAACAAAACCCAAAACAAACCTTACTGTCTTTCTAGACTACTACTATAAGATAACACTTAATAAAAACGTTTTTGTAGTCATGTTTACATCCTCTAGCACCTTCCTTAGAATGTAGATGGAACTGTGTTGTACTACAAGCATTTGGTTGGAGAGAAAGATGAAAGAAGCATCTTATTAATTATTATGTAATTCTTTCCAATTTTTGAATTATTGATTAGAACAAAACATTGGGAAAAGATAACCCTTTTTGAAATGATAGTTATACTGATGGTATTGGACAATTTTCAATGAAAATTGAAATAAAAGCTTCCATACAATTGTTTATTTCAAGCACCCTTGGCTTCCCCCTCCCCCCCCCCATTCTCCAAATGTAGCTTTTAGAGTAAGACAGATCTGGGTTCAGTCTATAGCTTTAACACTTATAAGTGGTTTGGCATATGCTATTGAATCTGGTTGAGGCTCATTTGAAGAATCAAGATGCTCCAGCCTTATCAGTAACAATAGGTTTATATCTACTTTTTATGTTGCTAATGAAAGAAAAACACTTTTTTCCAATTGAAAATATAAACATTAATTTGTTTATTCCATATCATAAGTCATCCTTAACCAACTTATATCAGTTAAATTTAGGGGGAATAGTATTTATTGATCAGGATGACTTGGATATTCTTTCATTGTTAGTAGCATATTTAATGATAAAATTTAATAAGCAATTTAGAGAATTATATATCAGCAATGAGGCATTTTGTCTGTGAAACCATTTCAGGTATATTAGCATAAGGAAATAAAATTCAAAAGAATGAAAAAAGTAATATGGAAAGTGAAATTTACTTATTGCAGCATTTCTATATATAAAAAATAAATTAGAACTAGTTTTAATGGGCAGTATTAGGTAAATAAGTAAAATGAGATCTATTAACTTGATGACAAAATACAGTTATTAAAAGTGATGAAATGTTAGGTGTTTGGATTTTTTAAATACTAAACAGTTTCCTTTTTTTGGTCATTGTATATTTTAGAATAAATAAATATCAAGATATAAAACTACAGATGTAGTACTATTGACTGTTTTAAAATTACCTTTATTACTTTAATGTTTTTGAAAACAAATGATACTGTTAGGCAGTAAAAAGAATTGAAGAAAAGTATCTTTTATGATTATATATATATGTAATCAGGAAATGAATTTAGAATGTTCTATTTTTTATTGAGATAATATTGTATTTTAATTTTATGTATGTTTCTGGGATGTATAGCATTAAATCCTAGATTTCTTATAAATGTTGACTAGAATTTAAAAATGAGGAGTTAAAGTGTTGGTGTTGTCTTTGCCTGTAGATGGCACTGTAATTTTAGATTGATTTATTTAACAGTTGGTAGATTGAGCAAATCATTAAAACCTGTTTCAGGTACTGTAAAATATATTCAGACACTGTTCATATGGAAAATTATTCTGAAAACAAAGAATACTTGACATGTTGGTATTTACTTATTTCTTTTTTCAACTGAAGGACTTAACTAGACCAAATGCTCACTATGTCATATAGGTTTTTGCTTGTTTTCTGGGGTTATTTCAAGCTGTCAGTCTTAATATTCAAGGCTCATTTGAAACTGAACAACAATGCCTCAGATCAGAATTATAAAACGAGATCTTTTTTATTAAGATGAAACCACTGGGCTTTTGTGAATTGTAGTAAAATGAAAGTATGTATGTATGTATGTATGTAGCTTTGGTCCAAGTAGCTTTTTTATTGTGTATTGCACGAGTTACTTCCATTTCTCTCCTTTCAATCCATAAATACACCTGAAGTGGTAGAATTTTCCGTTTTTGCAGATGAGGAAATATCTGTTGTTTATTGACTGACCTAATCAAGATCAAACAAGATGATACAAAGTTGAACTCGATTGTGCTTCTTGGATGATACTCTTCATCCACCTAACATTTGCCTTCTGCAAACAATATTTTTAGTTATTAACTCCCATTTTCCACCAACTTGTTATTACTTGGTATTAATAGGCACATTGGAATACATCTTAAGAAAAACAGTTCTTTTGAGATTCTGAGACCAAAATAGAAGTAAAGGACATCGTTCAGGAAATTTTCATATCAGTTTGGGGTAGATCCTAGGATATTTTGTTATCTGTATGACAGTGGTATGCAAAATCATTCTAGATAATGAGGTTATTTAGGAGATACCTAGCATGATATATTGAAAAAATACAGTGATTAAGTTGTTCCTTTTAAAATTCTCTTAGTTCTTTTATTCTATTTAAGGAGAGAAAACATATTGCTAATTTTTGATGATTTACCTTTTTAAAATGTGATCAAAATTGGATTTATTTACTTTTTTAAACAAGCAGTGTAGACCTCAGGCTCAGGATATCAGCAGAAAACAAAATCTAACTAGAATTTATTGCAAAGCTTTATTGAGTTTATTTTCCAGCTACCTCTTATTTGTGGTAAATAATCCTAGTTTTCCAATAGGTGATGCAATGTATCCTTTAATAAATAAATGTAAGGCTTCCCTAGTGGCCTAGGGGTTAAATCTCAACACTGTTGTCACAATATCCCATGGAGATGGCGTGAGTTGGCATGAGTTTGATCCCTGACCAGGCAGCTGACCCACCTGAGGCACAACAGACCTCACCTGTCTCATCTGCTGCTCCCCTCAGCAGTGGATTTCAGTGGATCCATCTGTTCTGCCACTAACTCTTGCCTCTGGGAAATTCTCTCCCCCACCACCTTTGCTCCTTTGCCTATACTCCAGTTCTTCTATGCAAAAATAAATAAAAATCTTTAAAAATTTAATTTATAAAAGAAGAAATCAATTGATTGTCAGGTATTAAAGAAAATATTAATGTAGATGAAGTTTGGGAAAGACTGTTAGGGCTGAATCCCTGTTATTCAGAGAGGCTTCTACCCCTGTGTTTATATGTGTCTTAATATGTTAATACCATCTTACCATGACCAGTTTCCTTAATAAATATCAAACTAATTTCCAATAGAGAAATAAAATCCATTATAAGAGTAAAAAACTTAATCATGGAGTTAAGAGGTGGTTATTTTTATTTTTTAAATGTTAAAACTTTTTATTTTGAAGTATTTATGCATATAAGAACTGGGGTGTGGGTCAGAAGTGCATGGGTGGAGGAAGGGTGAGAGGAATCACCAGAGACGGAGCTGGGATCAGAACAGGTGGATGGACTTTGAAATCTACTTCTGAGGGGAGCAGCAGGCAAGACAGGAGAATTGTGCTGCACCATGTGGTCAGCTCCCTGGCTGAGATTAACCCAAGTACAATAGCTTGATGGCACTGACTTTAACCCCTGCGCAACCAGGGGAGCTAATTTGTGGCTTCTTATTGCTGAGAACTAGGCTAGTCCATTATACAGACGTGCCTCAGTTGGCTTGTGGACTATTAGAAATAAAGCTACTATAAACATTTGCGTGTGTGTGTGATATATCACATATCTATGTGTTATATATACACATATATATGATATTTATGTATATGTGTGTATATAGAGATACATATATGTGTGTGTATGTATGTATATATGTATATATATGTATATGTGTATATGTGTGTGTGTGTATATATATATATATAACACTAGCCTTCATTTCCCAGGAGTACAGTTGTGGGGTTGTAGAGTAAGAGCAGTTAGTTTTATAAGAAACTGCCAAACTACCCCAGAGTGGTCATGTCCTTTGATATGCCCACCAGCAGTGTGTTTTAAAGGGAAGCTATCAAAGAGTTGGTCACTCCTTAACTGATGAACTAGCAGAGGAGAGGAGAGGGTTAGGGACGCGATTGTTTCTGCTTCTATCCCAAGTTGCCCATTTCTGACAAGATTTACTGGCATTTTCTTTGACAGTGTAACTCAGGATTTTGAATTTTATACCTCAGTAGGGTTTTAATTTTAGTTGGTTCTTGTTTCCTCCCTTTCTGGTTATATAGGTTTAGTCATTTCTTCTGAACAGGGGATATGAAGACTCTATGAATAAACTGATTTCTTATGTTTATAATTAAATGGTGTCTTTTAAAAAAAAATTTTCACTGCATATGATTTTTTAAAAGGAAACTGACTTTGGTTGCATTTTTCCATGCAATATTTTAAGAGAAATCTATAAAGTTTTTATGGTATATAAATGTGATTTGCTATCACATTAGGAATCTGATAGCAAATCTGGGAAACAGTTATACTAAATTCAGAGAACATTAAATTTATGCATGGAAAAAGACTTTAGTTTCAAGTGGAACATTTAGTAATTGAGTTTTACATATATATATCTTCTCTCATTTTGATTATTGTGATCATCTTCTAAGTGTCTGGCTCCATTCTTTAATCAATTTTGTATATTCATATCAGTTATTTCCTAACAGTAGAAATCTCCTGTCCTTGTGATTTCTGTTGGCAGAAAGTCTTCTCTGCTGAGGTTAAATGTGTTGTCTGAAGTGCTGGCAAAAATGTGGAGAAAAAGGAGCCCTCTTACACTGCTGGTGGGAATGTAAACTGGTCCAACCATGGAAAGCTGTGTGGAGGTTCCTTGAAGTACTAAAAATGGATCTACGGATTCCATTGATGATGTGATTCCACTCTTAGGAATCTACCTAAAGGGCACAAAAACATTAGTTCACAAGGAAATTCACATGCCTGTGTTTATTGCAGTACTGTTTACAATCACTAAGATATGGAAACATCCTAAATGCCCCCAAACGTATGAATGTATAGATAGAAAAGGTGGGTAGCATACTTATTTGATCATCAAAAAAGATAAACTCATGGCATTAGCAGCATCATGGATGAAGCTGGAAGGGATAATATTCT